TCACTTGATATGTATACGTGTTATTCTGTCTCTCTTCCTCATCTGCATGTTCTTGATTCCTGGCTGGCAACTGGCCTTTCCAGAAGCAAGCAAGGTTAGTATTTGTCAATCTCAGCTCCTTAGTTAGGCCCCATATCCATCCACTATCTCCAACCCCCATGGGGGTGATCAAGTCTCAGAGACTAGAAATTCTCTCTTTCACTCTGTTTCTTATCCAAAAAGGATGAAAAGGTTTATTAGTTATCTCTGCTGCTCTGCAAAATTGAAGTCATTTTTATTTATCTGATGGGTTAATTTACTGTTCTGGAATTCTTTTTCCCCCTGAAATACATGTTTACTTACTTTCTGAAATATGCTCACCAGCACCAAGTGAGACAAAAATTGAAATGAAGCCCTCCAACTGAAAAAGGTTGGACAAGGTTGCTGTAGAGGGCTACAAGTCTTTTTAGCCTCTATCCTTAATTGGAAGCTGAACATGTCTTCTGGTCACTAATTGGCTGATCAAGTGAAAATCACTGTTGGGTGACTGCTGGGTGTATGCGTTGGGATCCTCGTTTGACCTTAGTTTCAGGAATTGAGGGTCTCACTGATATGAACCTGCAACCTGGCAAAATGGCAACAAAATTTCTTGGAATTCTTTGACCAAGTTCCACTCACACATATGCAAATATGAGAGTTTTCTCCCAGATGAAGATTACAATATACAAATTGATTTGTTTCTACCAACTTAAGGAAATTGAGATTACGAGCCTACGGGATGTACAATTCTCTTTAGAACACAAGGGGTAAAGAGACCAATCCTTCCCCTTAAGAAATTAGATATGAGAAGCAGGGTTTTCATGTACCTGGATAATAACTAAAATCTTATCATGATTAACCCAGGTTTGTTAAATGTACTAAGTAGCTTCTCCTATTTGGTATTATCTGTGAGGATAGATTTCATTATGTGAACTTAGTACTGGATGGAAAGAACTACAAATCACCAATGTCACAAAATACAGATATTCAGAATAAAAACATGCAGAAAAAATGTTCCTTTTTAGAACTATTAGTGTAATCTCGTTATCCAAATCAGTGGGCCATCAGTTGCTCCAGTGCCTGCATGTACTGAACTAGGGTTAGCATTAAAGTGCTGTTGCTAAAAGATACATAATCTGGTAGCCATGTGTAGTGATTGGAAGAAGGACCAGGTGGACCTCATTGACAATGAGTCCTTTGATTTTGGGTTGTTCACCTGGGCCAATCAGGGAGCCCTAGCTGATAGATATAAACAGGGGATTTAGAGAGTCTCCTCACACTAGGGACTGGCTCTGAGCAAGCTAGTCAGAGACCATGTACTGTGCGCACATAAATAAAAGGTGACTTGGTGACAGGATATCTGCCTTCTTGGAGTTATTTCACTATGGCACTGAATTGGCACCACAGAAGTCACCACAGCATAGTAATAAATTCAATCATTTCTGCATTGGCAGAGGTAAATAACCATGGAGTTGACTGGATGGCTATAGAAAACAAAATGGTTCACTAATATCCTTCCAGAGGATTTGTTATCCATAGCTTGGCTGCAATCACATATAATATGATCATTTGTAATTCCTATAGGACAAATAGAGATAGTTCTTCATCATTGTTACCCATATTCCAACAACAATCCTTAAAATAGATCATCAGTAATTATTTGCTTGATTGCAACACAAATGATGTATGTGAGGAAAAATAAATTAAATATATCAAAAGCAATATACTTTTCATTCCCTCAGGTCATCCAATAAATCCTGCTTTATTCTGGAGGAACCATCATAACAGTAGAGGAGTACTTGTACCCAGTTCCAGCTCCAAGGAAAGGTTCTTAGAAGATTGTATCCCAGCTGTTTCAGGAGCTCAATTTGCTCACGAACACCTTGAAAGGTGATGATGCCCCTTTCATAGCAGATTAAGCCAAGTGAACATAACTGAATAAAGTCAGAGTCTCATGTATACAAGGTGTTGACAGTTAATTCAGGCTTTACACAACATGCCCTGAAGAGTGGTAAGATTCAGCACAAAACCTTTTCTTTGAAAGCAAAATTAAGAAGCTTCAGGCATTCAGTATATCCATGTTATAAAATGTTCTGATAAATCTCTGTGTTTAATAAACATGTTTACAATATATTTCCTATGTTCTTGTACCTTTAGTAATAAAAGATGCCAGGCTGATGATGGGATCATTTAGCCTCCTGTGGAAGGGGGTGGGTCCCAGGTTCACTGGCCTGTGATGTCTGTTCAGATTTCATTTTCATACAGTCCTCCAATTTAAATGCATCCTCAAGGATGCAAACCCCTGCAGTTTTGACCAAAGTGGCTCCTGTATGTGTGGACTTATTATGAACCTAACATCGCATCCAAATCAGCCCAGGAAACTTTGTTGAATTCCTTTTCCTTATAACAATGCTGTAGGATTGTCAAATGATCAGGGATAATGCTCTATATGGTAATGGAACGATTGTGCTGATCATGTGTTCATATAAGTACCCAATTCTGAGAGTGATGATTAGTTCCTCCACAGTGACTGATATAAGCAAAAGCAGCACATATTCAGAACCCTGGTTATAACCATTAAGTTTGCCTCAGCAGAAACGGATCTCAGCTCAAAACTCAAAAGTCCTTTCCTCTGCTTGGAAACA